GAGTTTAACTTTTAATTGTACAGTTGATGTGCTAGATGACCTGTACAATATTAGTGTTAATATCAGTATAGTAATAAATGGAGAACTCATTACTAGTACTACTAGATCTGGTGATACTACAGCAATGACTATGATTGATTCAATAAGGTCATCTGATGCTGGAGACTATCAATGTATTGTTAATATCACTCAACCTGATATAGACTATGAATTTAATGGAGTGGAATCTACTCAAGTGATACTAACATGTATGTTGCAATTGTTTTTGTTTTCAATTTATTGTTTTTATAGTACCAACTCCTTCAGTTATTGTTGAGTATAATGCTACTGGACATTTAGTAGATGGAGAACTAGCGGAAGGACAGTTTCTTAATATTATATGTATAGCTGACATTAGTCAATATATTGATACTAGTGTTAGTGTTACTATGAGTTGGAGGAGAAATAACACTGTACTGACCAATGGAAGTGATTTTACTATCAGTCCTCCAGTTATGACTAATAATCAGTACACTGGTGTGTTACGTATTAATAGTTTAAGAGATGAACTTGATAATGGTGCTAGTTATAATTGTTCAGTTAGTGTGACTCCTAATACTCCTTTTATATTAGCAGGGAATGATAATAGCAGTGCAGCTACATTAACTGTATCAAGTAAATACATTTATTAATACTTTTTATCATTATTTTATTTTTTTTACAGATTTTGATATCAACCATGTTGATATAAGTATCAATATTCCTTCTGTTCCTGTTGCTGGTGATGTATTTAGTTTATTTTGTGTTATAGTTGTACCTCCTAATTTTGTTGAGAATCTTACTAGTGTCAGATGGACTTATGATTTAGAAGCATCTCGAGATGTGACTAGTGAAAACAATGATGCTAGACTAGTACCTGTTGTTAGAAATGGAAATATATTCACCAGTGTACTTACACTTGATCCAGTGAAGACAACTGATGCTAGACAATATTACTGTCAAGCAACAATTTTAGTATTTAGTACTGTAGATCGTACTAACAGAGATTTAACTGTTCAAAGTCAGTTTCAATTATCATTTGATTATTTAAAGCAATTATTCTCTTTATAGTATCTCCTCCCAGTGTATCAATAGTTGCTGATCCTCCAACTGGTCCAATATATGAGAGTACAAGTTACTTACTAACCTGTACAGCTACAGTAAACACTACAATAGTGGATACACCAGTAACTGCTAGTGTAGTATGGACTGATCCTAGTGGTAATGTAATACCAACTAATGAAGCAAGACGTCAAGTGATACCTCCAACTGGTAACAGTCTTGTAAGCATGCTATTGTTTCAACCTATTGATACTGGTCTTAATAATGATGGAGGAACATATATCTGTCAAATGATCATCAATTCTGGTAACTCATTAATAGCATCAAGTCAACCTACTGATACTACCTTTGCTGTTACCATTGAAAGTAAGATACAAAAATATTTATTATTTGTTATAAATGTATTTCTATTAATCTTCCTTCTCTTATTATTATATTTCCATTCTCCATCAGGTCTTCCTCCAATGACAGTAAATTTCTCATCAGTTGGTTCAGTTGAAGTTGGTCAGAGTCTAACTATAACATGTACCATAACAACAGTTGAGGGATTAGTAGTAAAACCAATGATTACTTTCTTTAAAATAAATGATACAGATATGGAAATGCTCTCTAACTTAAATAGACCATACAGTATCACAACAGATGATACTGGTTCAGTTACTAACTATACTCTAATACTGGATCCAGTGAGGTTTGAAGATGCTGGAATGTATACATGTATGGCTGAGTTTAATGTAACTGGTTTTAATAATACCAATGATCCTAGCACTGCTACTATTGACTATCAAGAAGCTAGTGATGTCTTTAGTGTGATTGTTGATTGTAAGTTGTTGTACTTACTCAATGTATTGTACAAATTTTAAATGTAGAATATGAGTTGCTTACATTTTTATGCTATGCTTATATATAATGACTTTCATTTTTCCATGCATAGTTCCGCCAATACTTGTTACTATATCAAAGGAACGTGATGATACATTATATGCAGGGACACCATTCTTCATTAAATGTGACATAATGTTAAATCCATTAGTTACTATACCAGTGACTGTCACTAATCAATGGACACGTGATGGTACTAATGTTCCTATGGGTTCATCTGATGCTACTATTACTGAGGGTCTCAATATGATCAATACATTACATTATAATGCAACATTAATGTTCTATCCATTGGATAATGCTGATGATAGTGGAGTGTATACTTGTAACATTGAAGTGACTGCTCCTAATAGTTACATGTTTTTTACAAATACATCAGCTAGTGCTAATATTTCTATTACAGTTTATGGTAAGTACATGTACATGTACATGCTGTTTTGGTGCATAGTAGGCCAGTACTTATTTTACCTTTTGGGCTGTGAGTTTGAATGCATTGTACATAGACAATCTGATAAGGCATTGATTCTTGAACTAATTCAGTTTTGATTGTCTTTATCACCTTACCAGAATGTAGAGATCCAAATCATCACATTTCTGTGAATGTATGAATGTAGCAAATCACCTTTGTAGTTTTTGAGTTTTTTAAATTCCTTCCTCAAATTCCTCTCTCTCTCTCTCCTTGTTTTGTCTTCCTCCATTACCTTCACTCTTTCTCTCCTCTCATTACAGCTACTCCAAGGCCAGTAGTAGAAATAAATCAAGTAGCTATGGGTATTGCTGAACCTGGTGAAGAATACATGTTAAATTGTACAGTGACAGTTGTTGATAGACTCATAGTCTCACCAGTGATAACATGGACTAAGAGATCAGCTAACAATCTTATTAGTGTACCTCTTGTTCTTATGAATATATTTAATGTAAAGAGTTCTCTTTATTTGAACTTCTCTTCTCTCAATACTTCTGATGCTGGTCAGTATACTTGTGAAGCCTCCATTAATGTTAGTCTGATATCCATGGTAGCAAGGAGTAATGACACCTCAGATTTACCATTAGACAGTAAGCACATTATGAGACCAGTGTATATTGTATTATGAATTGATACTCTTTAATCAAATAGAATACACTAAGAATTTCATTACATTCTTTTTAATGCAATTGTGTAGTTGTTACTTTTTTACTTCATACAATGCAGTGATTGATGCATATTAGGCTATTGTATCATATTTAAAGCTCCCTTTAATGTATTGGTGGCTATATCTTACTTTTTCAATTTACAAAATGTATCTTTATTTAGTTCCTATTCCATCTGTTGATGTGAGTCAATCAAGAGAGGATTATTTCTTAGCTGGCAGTAACCTGATACTAACATGTGATATCAGTGTTGATCCTAATGTTGATACACCATTCACTGTTGATGTAACCTGGAACATAACTGATCAACAGATCATGAGTAAGGATAATATAGTACTTACAATAAATGCTAAATCATTAATGCTTTCTGGTACAGATCGTGTTAATATCAGCTCCTTTATGATAGGATCAAGTTTTAATGAGTATAGGTCAATACTTAATTTCACTACATTGAGCAGTATTGAGGATTCAGGAACATATACATGTATTGTTACTATAGTACCAGCTCCAGCTTATGAACATGTTATGACTTCTGATACTAATTACATGAGTGTTAACTTAACTGTTACTGGTAAGCTTCAAAATGTAGATGTAGCTAGAAATGGAGACCTACTGCTGTCAATTTAATTTTATTCATTTTCTAGATCCAATGATTGGAAGTTTCTCTGCCTCCCCTGACTCATTTTTGGGTCTAGAAACATCATGTCCTGATTCAGACCCATATGATAACTTCACTCTTACCTGTACAGCCACTAAACCAACCATAGTAAAACCAAACCTGGTAATAGCATGGACACATAATGGTACAATAGAAACTGGTACTGTGACTACTACTGGAGAGGATACTATAACTACCACTATTACTAATACATTGAGTTTTAATGCCAGTAGGCCTTCTGATTCTGGTACTTATAGATGTACTGCTAGTATTACTATACCTGATTCAACTGGTATCACTACTAGTGAGGAGAGCACTGTGACTATAAGACGTAAGTGCATGTTACATTTATAAAGCATATCCTCTTTCTCTCCTACCTCAATCCCTTGTTTAATTTATAGCCCCGGCCCTACCTGTTCCTGCTATTAATGTAACAGCTACTCCAGGAACAATTACTGCTGCTATATCATTCATAATACCTAACATTGCCTATACACCTGAAACCTACAGTGTTAAGTATACTGGAGCAATCTTACAAACAACAGAAGCAACTTCTATCATAAGAATGAGCCCTGATGACATCACTGCAATAAACCAAGAATTTACAATCATGTTAAATGGTCTTGAGGAAGATAACACTTATACATATACAATTGATTCTACCAATTGTCTTGGTACCACTAGTACTGTGGAGATGAGCTTCAGAACACTTCCAACATGTAAGAGGAATTCATGCATGTGTATATGCTTTTTGTTTTGTTTTTTTACTAATTTTTTATTCTTTTTTCTTTGTCTCTTTATTTTTATGAATTTCTTAATTTTTATCTTCCTTATTCTGCACAGTGCCAGTGGCTCCTCCAATGGATTGTACCAATATAACATTCTTACCAAGTAATGTCACACTTATCTGGACTGGACCAACGTTAATAGATCAAAATGGAGCACCAGTTGGTTATAATTTAACATGTATGAATGCTAATGGTGTATCAGTCAATGGATTGAGCCCAACACGATCTTCAACAGACACAATGTTCACTATTACTGATGTTATGCCTTTTACTAGTTACACTTGTGAGCTGTCATTTATTAATGTAGTAGGAGAAGGACCCCCTACCCAGTGTATTTTTGAAACAGCTCAAAATGGTAAGGCTTAAGCACAATATTTGTGAAATAATTATGAGTTATTTGTTGCAGTATCATACGACTCTCCTCAAAATTTTACTTCCATTCCTGACCTAAATTCTGTTTTATTTTCATGGATGGAACCAACCAGTACTAATGGAATTATTATTAATTATAATTTGACAGTAACTAAAGTGAATGAAGCAAAGCTAATGACTTTCATTATTGAAGCAAATCCTAATCAAAAAATTATAAGCAAACTTGTTGTTGGTTTCAGTCCATATCAGAATTACACTGCTAGTGTTAGTGCTAGTACAATCATTGGAGCTGGACCAGTGGCTACTACTGCAGGAAGAACACTACCAGACAGTAAGTGTATTATTATGATACATTTATTAAAATACAATACACAGTTCCTAGTTCACCTCATCTGGTAGTGTCTCCAGTTGTCATTAATAGTTTAACAGTAGCTTATACTGTACCAGTTCTTAATGAAACTACTATCAATATAACATGGAGTCCACCATCTCATCCTAATGGAGAAATCACTGGATTTATTATTAGAATAGCTACTGATGCTATTACTAGCCCTAATAATGTTCCATTTGTGACTGGCAGAGCATCATATTCACTAATATTTGGAGGATTAAGTTAGTATCTCATACTTACATATCATATATTTTTATGATCATTTTACAGGAGCAAGGATACCTTATTATGTTTCAGTTGTAGCAGTCAATGAAGTTGGTGAAGGAAATTCTGCCACTGCTATTGTCTTCACTAAATCTGACAGTAAGATATTTAGTATTCAAAGATAAATGCACATGTTGCTTTATGTGCAGGTAGCATTACAGTATCACCATCAAATGTACAAGCAATGAGAATAGGAGATACAATAGTGTTATCATGGGATCCAGTGACACTAGAAGAAGCTAAAGGATTCTTTGTATACAGTATCAGATTAACTCCTGATGATGGTAGCACTAGCAGTACATTAAGACAAACTAATACAAGAACTATATCAGTAGCTTATGATACCACATCAGTTAATATAACTGATACTGAACCACAGTTAGCTTATACTGTGAGTATTAGTGTATTGCTATTGAGTGATGTAGGACTAATTGAAGGACCAGCAACTCACACTTCCATAACAAGTTAGTTTTAAAGCTACATTGTGCATGTATAACATCTGTGTACTATATATTTTTACTTAAAATTGTCTATTGATAGTGCCACCTACAATTATCAATAACACTGATGATGATAGTCTTCCTTTGGTAGCAGTGATAGCGCCAACTGCATTAATAATGATTTTCTTTGTTTTGTTGGTACTTGTGTGCATTGTTATTGTAGTATTGTACAGAAAAAAGTCTAAAAAGTTTGACATAAGGTAGGTAAATGTAATACTTACAATGTATGTGTCCATAATACATACTAGCAAAGACAATGAACTCAGTGTAGCACCTAATGTAGGATATGGTTTAGTAGCAATTGCTAATACTTCTGCAACACAGTAAGAATTATCTACTGTATCAAAATTTTGTATGACATTTTAATAGAAATAATGAAGACATATATGAGAAGATTGATGAATATTTATATGAACCAATAGATGATAAAATAGTGCAGCAAAAAGAAGAGGATACTCCAATTGTAGGAGACAGTGTTGATAATATAGCAATAGCCAACTGTCCTGCATATGCTACCAGTCCTATTGCTGCTCCAAGTAAACCTAGTTTATGATGTTCACACCCACAAAATTATTTTTATTATTATCTTATATTAGTATTTAGTCCCAATCAAGGAGAGACAAACGAGGAGCAAGATGTTGATGCATACGAAGATATGTCTTAAAGTGCTTTAATTGATTTATAAATTGGACAAGGTCTGCTTTGAATAAAAATTGTGTCAAGGCAGTTTTAAAATTTTTTGCAGTTAAAAAAAATTTTTAAATTTATGCTATTGCTCACTCACTAATCTCCTTTTATCAATAGTCCTTATAATATATGCACAATTTTAACACTACGTCTTCTAACAATGTTAAGTGTATTATGTTGAAATGGAAAAATTAATAAACTTTGGTCCATAATGCCTTAATTATATCTACACTTATAAACACTCTAAAGTTTGGATAGCCCAAGTGAATATTTTAATCTAGGGAGAGATAAGTGATAATTAATTACTAATGATCAATTTGTGCTGGATTTTTTAGTTTTTTCATTGGCTTCTTACAAAATTTTATAATGTACAGAAATTCTGGCCAAATTTTGCTAAAAATAAAAAGGAGAGAATTTTTCATTTTTATAATTTTTTCTGATACATATACATGTACTTATGTTGTGTAGAAAGTTTCAGTGGATTCCGATCAAGTTTGGATTTTTTTACAAATTTTTAGATTTGCTAAAAAATCGGATAAAAGTTCTTGTACTGTAATACAGGGATTTTGGCCCATTTTCATTAAAAATAAAAAGGAGATAATTTTTCATTTTCATAATTTTTTCTGATACATATATATGCATTTATGTTATGTAGAAAGTTTGAGTAGATTCCGATCAAGTTTGGATTTTTTACAAATTTTTAGATTTGCTAAAAATTGGGCCAAAGTCCTTGTACTGTAGTACAGGGATTTTGGCCCATTTTCATTAAAAATAAAAAGGAGAGAATTTTTCATTTTTATAATTTTTTTTGATACATATACATGTACGTATGTTGTGTAGAAAGTTTGAGTGGATTCCGATCAAGTTTGGATTTTTACAAATTTTTAGATTTGCTAAAAATTTGGGCCAAAGTCCCTGTACTGTAGTACAGTAAAAAGGGAACAAAGCCCTCAAAAAATTTATTATAAATATAAGAAATAAAACATGTAGGTTAAGGAAAAGCAAAGCAAGGTTAAAATAGGTAAGGTTAAGTTAGTGACACAAAAAAGGAAATGATAAGGAATAATAATAATAATAATAATTATTATTATTATTATTATAAAGCTAAAAAATGATTACAGAGATTTTGACCCATTTTCTTCCAAGATAAAGGAGAGAATTTTAAAATTTTTTTGATGGATATACATGTACTTGATTTGCGTAGACACTTTAAACAGATTCCAATTGAAATTAGATTTTTTATGAATTTTAAAGTTGCTCAAAAATTATGAGTAATAGATCAGTAGCCATGATCAAGTGGAGGTGTATAATTACTTACAGTTTCATCTCATAGCACTGAGTATTTATTGTAGTCTATGTATAAGCATCAATTGAGTTACAGAGCTGGACAAGGCTGCCCCAATGGCTACTGCCATGCATGCAAAAGCATTAAAGAATTGAAGCCCTTATATTGAGGAATTCTTTATCACTTACTTTGAGTCGTAGACATTGTTTTTAAGTTTACAAAAAACGATGATGTCACATGAGTCATTTATGAATACAATTAAATAATTATTAGTAAAAATAAATGCATCCATCACACTTATATTTTGTCATTGTCAATGGAACGTGTTTTACATAAACTGTACATGTACACATGCATAGTTTTTGATTTAAGACAAGACACTCCTTCCTAACTATACTAACCGTCACAAGTATTCAACTAACCGTCACAAGTATTCAACAAACCACACAGTTCCTCTTTATTTTACTACTATGTTGACATTAGAAGCCTTTATAAAGAATTGTGAACTGTGTAGATAAACTTACTCATAGATAACACATAGTGTACATAACGCATAAAGTACATAATTTACATGTACATGTCATAGTAATTGTGGTTTGACATACGTGTATGTAACATTGTTCACTTTCTCACTCTTTTCCTGTCCATCTGCTTTGTTCATTATTGTTTTGAGTTATACAAGAGTGCTAACTGTGTAACTATGGCTAATGAAAACAATAATAAGATTTATTGATCGGACCTAAAATTAATGAAGATTGTACAGACTTTAGCTACACCAAATTTGGTGACTATACTATGCAACACCTTCTTAAAACAACAATTCTTACAATGCCACAAAAGGAACAGTTGACCTTTCATCATTGCAAGCTAGCTCAGCACAGACACACACATACATCTACACATACACATACATGTACATGAACATGTACACACCAGCACTAACACACATACACTTCATTCATTGGCTAGTGTAGTATCATGAGACTCATTAGTGTCCTCTATAGTCTCGCCCTGCCCCTTCACTACCTGTGGGGCAAGACTATGTCCTTTAATATTTTGCATCATTATAGTAGCAACAGTTTACATTGCTCAATGGTGATAGGGACCTGACGAGTTATTATTGTAATTTACTGTCTCACATGAGCCTTTTATAATATTTTTATTTGAACATTATCTACTACTCATTGAATTAACAATATGTCAGTATATCATGGTCTTAATTTACTCTTTTTGTGTCAATTGTTTTGAAATATTTGCTTTCAGCCTGAGACAACTCATCTGTTATAATAACAATATCTCTATATAATATTAGTAACCACCCACACATAGGCTACTATTTTGCTTAGTGAGCAGTTGAGATCAAGTTATAATGCCCTTGCTGTTTCTCTTATCATTGGTACTTCATGTATCAGGTCGACCTGAGTTTGGTTCACTACCTCCTCATCCAACTAAGGGTCAGTAGTCGTCTATGTATATACTATAATATTAATGACTATATTTAATAGGTGTAAGATTGTTTCTTGGTGAGGAGAATGTGACTATTGCTAATTTCTCAATGATAGCTGCTGGTCTGTTTCATGATGCAGATGTAGATAGACCTGATGGTACTGCTACTAATATTCCCATTGGTCCTGATGGTCAGAATGATGGTTTGTGGTGTCAGAGTTCTCTTAATCAGAATATGATAGGAACATGGTATTATCCTGATGAAACTACTGTACCATTAGGTTCTGGTAGTCCTCTGTTTGCTAACAACACTGCTACTGGTCAAATTGGTTTGTTAAGAAATGGAGGAATAGCAAGTGTTCAAGGACTATACAGTTGTGTTATACCAAATGAAGAAGGAATCAATCAAACATTGTATGTTGCTGCTTATGGCAATGGGGATTTCCTTAAAAATGCTGGTAAGCTTAAAATATTAAATTAATTTTATTCAATTCATTATACAGAACTTCCAATGATTGATGGTAGTGGTTCCTCCTTCCAGCTCCTCTCATCAGTTGATGCTGATCCTCCAGTGTTTAGTTTATCATTTAATGTCACTAATAGATCACCAACAATAGTCACTTGCTCTGTTGATAATGGAAACCAGTTTAATGTATCTGATAGTGATCTGATACGTACTGTAACACCAGTTAATAATGATGTACAAGTACAAGTATCAGTAATATTTAGAATGAGAGTGTCTGGCCTGTATAAATGTTTTGTTACCACTGACAGAATTAAAGCTACACCTTTAGTATCTACTAATATGGGAATGAGGAATGTTACTGGTAGGTATACCTAACTTTTGATCACATTAAATGAAGTCTTTCTTTTTGAAGTTACAGGATCTCCATCTAACTTGGCTTATAGTAGAGATACTCTTCTCTCAGTTACACTAGGCTGGTCTCCCTCAGCAGTGATTAGTGCTACTCCTCAGTATCATGTCTTTGTTAATAACAGTAATGGTATTATTATGAATGACAACACTACAAATACTGAGCTGTCTCTCTCATTACGTCCTGATGATGAATATAATATTAGACTAGTAGCTACTGGGGAAGACCTACCAAGTGAAATAATCACTGTTACTGTACCTCAAGGTATAAATTATGCATAATGTATTTTGATGTTTCTTTCAGTTGTCAGTATTGAAGTACAAGGGCCAGTTATGATGCCATTGGATCATTCTTCTTCCTTTTCATTAACCTGTACATTGACATTAGCTCCTAGAGTGAATGATACTATGGTAGAAATGTACTGGGCAGGTCCTGATCTCATTCTCTTCAATTCTACAACTGATGGAGACATAGTTTTAGATACTTTAGAGTTTACAATGATATCAGTTAATGATAGTGTTGTATATACACTTACTCTTAACTTCTTTTCATTGCAAGCGTCACAAGTTGGACAATATGTTTGTAGGGCTCTACTAAATGATGGGGCTGATATTATTGATATAACATCAAATTATACTATATCTATACAAAGTAAGAATTTAATAATTCACATTACTTTTTATATTTTTGGTCATCCTATGTAGTACCAACTCCTGTGGTCACATTTAGTGTTAATACAACAGGACGTATTTTTGAGAGCAATGACATTCAGTTATTATGTATTATCACTATTACTCTACTGGATGTTAATCATACTGCTAACATCAACTGGTTTGGACCTAATGGACTCATTACAATGAATGATGCTAAGTATAGCATTAGTACTGGAGAAATCAATTTGTCAACTACTGGTAGTAGCTTAAGATTCACTGCATCTTTATCAGATAATGGAACTGATTACTATTGTACTGCTAATGTTGGACCTGCTAGTAATGTGAATGGGTTTGAACTGATTATACCATCAGATACTGCTATATCAAATAATTATATTATTACAGTTGAAAGTAAGTTGTAATTTGCTAGCTATGATAAAATTTAATTCTTTCTTTCCTAGTTGTACCACTACCAACAGTGTTAATTGATGATAGTAGTATTCCAGTAACAGGAGATTCATTCCAGTTAGTGTGTACTGGAACTGCACCAGCTAATGTATCAAGTATTGCTACTGTTAGTGTTCAATGGCTTCTTAATGGCACTGTGTTTACTAATGATACACTGGAAGGAGTCACTGTTACTAATAGTGGGTCTATGGCCACATTATCATTCAGTTCTCTTAATGCTTCTACTCATGAAAGAGATAATTATACTTGTGTAGCTACTCTTAGTATTCCTGATGTACCAACAACTAAAACAGCAAGCACAATATACAACCTTCAGACTTCAAGTAAATAGTATATTACGCATGTATTAATAAATATTTTTCTGCTTTCCGTAGCTAATCCTATTGTATCCATATTTTCAAGTCAACCTGTGTTTGCTGGTCAATTGTATTCATTAAACTGTACTGTCACAATAGTAGCTGGAGAT